CTGAATCCATTCAGCTCAATCATTGCGCTGTTTTAAGTATTGATAATAAGTCAGCTGACTAGAAAATAGTCATTATAATGCAACCATAGTATGTCTTTCCAGGGAGCCGCTTGATTTTGACTACTCAAAGCCACTGGTTACATCCATAGAGAAAGCTGTTAAGACTGTTTTGCTGAAGCTACCTCGATATGCCACTAGAGCGTAAGTTCGCTTATTTTTAGCACCAGAGCATGAGTTTGGAGTCACATAACACTTCTTATATTTCTGTTTCAAGTCATGTATCATTTGGCCATCTTGGTCAGGATTCGGCGGACCTTGCTTGTAATCTCGATGAGGTACTGTTATAACCTTGTTTCTGCCATTCCTCAAAACAAAAATTAAGGTTGTTGACGCTATTGTAAGTAATTGTGCTGGCGGACTGTCCAATATACGATCGTTACATATGCAGCCTGTTGGTGGGACACCCTCTTTACCCATCTATGTTGATAACGGTAACTTCCATAATTATACCAGAGAATTTTGGTACTATCTTCTGTTTTTGTGATAATTTTTCGTTGTTACGTGCAGGAAGGTCATCTGATGTGAAACTTGAAAGACCAGGAAAACGCAGAAGAGCTACTGAACAGGTATCCGATGAGTGCTCCACGCTTCCCGATGGACTCAGGGTATGCCACTATATGACGTTTTACGATTTTCATCTATCTGCGGAATTTTCATCAATTCCTCTCATGTCATCGTTCATATTCATTACAGTTGGCGATTCGAAGAAATGGTAAAGTTCGTGTAATCAAGGAGGATAGCAATGCAGCTGTTCATTATCCAACTAGTGAGAAAGAAAGTTCCTTCTCATTTATTTTTGACGACTACCATTTTGTAGTTCATGACGAATGGGAAGAAAGAGACGGATTGAAACCCACGATTGATCCCGCAAAATTAAAACGAAAACATGCAATCAAAAAGAAGAGAATGGTGAGTGCCTGGGTTCTGTAGTTAGATCATTCAGTGATCTGGCATCCAGATCAGCTATCAAAACTCCTTTCCATTTATGTTTTGATTTTAGCAAAAGCGTATAGCACAGAAAAAGATCAAGTCAGGAGAAAGAGTGGCCTTACAACAAGAACCTGAAACGAAGATGGAATAGATAATAATTTGTGTTTTTCTTCTCTGTTATTGTTGATTCTTGTTCTAGAAAACTGTTTTGTTGAGACTACATTGTTGTTTT